ATTAAAGAAGTAACAGATGTGGCCAAAAGAAAAAAAGTAGATGTCGAACAATCAGCACATGTAGAAGGAGTTTAGATAATGCTCTGGTGACTCTAAAAGCTGAGCAAAAGAATGCATATGATATGATAATGGAATGTGTTCTCTCAAACAAACCCGACATCTTCTTCATTGATGGCTCGGGTGGAACTGGGAAAACATATCTATATCATCAAGGTCAGGTCCGAAAAAAAGATAACTCTTGTTGCATCTTTGATTTTACTTGGTGGCAGGACTGCACATTCAAGATTTAAAATTCCAATATTAGCAAACGAGTCCGCAGTTTATAACATTTCAAATCAAAGTTCAATAGCAGAGCTAATGTGTAAAACAAGTGTCATTATTTGGGATGAAGCACCAATGGCAAAACGTTATGCAATTGAGACAGTTAACAGGACTCTCCAAGATCTCCGCAGTACGTAGCAGTCTTTGGTGTAGACATAAAAAAAATATATAAATTTTTTTTAAAAAAAATACAAAAAATATATAAAATATAATAAATAAATAAATATATATAAAAATATAAAAAAATTTAAAAATTATAAAAATATAAAAAATATATAAAAATATAAAAATATAAAAAAAATAAAAAAATAAAAAAATATTTAAAAAATATGAATATATATATATAAAATATACAAGAAATACTAATATAAAAAAATGTTTATTAATTGATATTAAAAATAATATAATTTCTCTAATAATCTAATTAGACTAGGATATATATAAAGAAATAATATAATTTGTATAAAAGTCTACCACAAATGACCTATTTCATCTTCAATTAAACTCTCTCACATTATACAATGATATATTTAAAGAGTTTCTATAAAATTTTAACACAAATTATTTATTTATCTATTTATTATGAGTTTTTTTTTTAATGAAAGTAAATTTAATTAGACAAAAATTATTAATATAAAAAATATTTATTAATTGATATAAAAAGATATTTTAAAAGAGTTTCTATAAAACATTAACACAAATTACTTATTTATCAATCTATTAGGAGTTTCTTTAATAAAAGAAAGTCTAATTAGACAAGAATTATTAATATAAAAAATATTTATTTATTGATATAAAAATAAAATAATTTTTCTAAAACTATACCACAAATTATCTTTTATTATGAGTTTTTTTAATAAAAGAAAATTTAATTAGAGAATAATTATTAATATAAAAAAATATTTATTAATTGATATAAAAAGAGTTTTTAAAAGAGTTTCTATAAAACTCTAACACATTTGACCTATTTATCTATTTATTATGAATTTTTTTAATAAAAGAAAATCTAATTAGACAAGAATATATTTAAAGAAAATAAAATAATTTCTATAAAATTACCACAAATTAGTTTCTATAAAGCTCTATGACATTATCTACTTATGATGAGTTTTTTAAGATAATAAAATCTAATTCAACAAGAACATATTTAAAAATAAAAAAATAATTTCTAGAAAACTTTACTACAAATTAGCGATTTTATTTTATGTAAAACTTTATCACATATAACTTGTATTTACATATTTATTATGAATACATTTAAAGAAAATAAAATAATTTCTATAAAAGTCCATCTCAAATTACCTATTTTATTTTTTAAAAACTCTATCAAATCTAACCGGTTTTTATCTATTTATTATGAGTTTTTTAATAAAAGGAAATGTAATTAAACATGATATATTTAAAGAGAATAAAATAATTTTTAAAAACATTTTCTATAAAACTCTAACATAAATTACCTATTTATCCATTTATTATGAATTTTTTAATTAAAAAAATGTAATTAGACAAGAATTATTAATATAAAAAATATTTAAGAATTGATATAAAAAATGAAATAATATCTCTAAAATTCTACCACAAATTACCTTTTATTATGTGTCTTTTAATTAGAAAATAATCTAATTAGACAAGGATTTATTTAACGAAAATAAAATAATTTTTATAAAACTCTACCACAAATTCCTGTTTTATTTCAATAAAACTCTATCACATTAGACAATGATATATTTAAAGAGTTTCTATAAAATTGTAAAACAAATTATTTATTTATCTATTTATGATGAGTTTTTTAATGAAAGGAAATCTAATTAGACGAGAATTATTAATATTAAATATATTTATTACTTGATATAAAAAGAGATTTAAAAAGATTTTCTATAAAAATGTAACATAAATTACCTATTTATCAATTTATTATGAGTTTTTTAATAAAAGAAAATATAATTAGACAGGAATTATTAATATAAAATATATTTGTTAATTGATATAAAAAATAAAATAATTTTTCAAAAACTTTATCACATATAACCTATTTATTATGAATATATTTAAGGAAAATAAAATAATTTCTATAAAACTGTAGCACAAATTACCTATTTTATATTTCTTTAAAACTTTATCATATCACCTATAAAAGAAAATCTAATTAGACAAGGATATATTTAAAGAAAAGAAAATAATTTTTTAAAAGAGTTTCTGTAAAACTCTAACACAAATTACCTATTTATCTATTTATTATGAGTTTTTTAATAAAATAAAATCTAATTAGACAATAATTATTTATATAAAAATTATTTATTAATTGATATAAAAAATAAAATAATTTCTCTAAAACTCTGCCTCAAATTACATTTTATTATGAGTTTTTTAATAAAAGAAAATCTAATTAGACAATGATATTGTAACGACTCAGATCCACTGGATCCGGATCATTAATCGGGTCCTTACCCGACCCAAAATCATCCAAGGGTAATACGGGTCTTTCACATTAAATTAATATATTAAAGTCTAACAAGGACGAAATGGTTATTTGTCACAATTCCATTGGTTTAAGACTCCAAGGGTATAATGGTCAATTACTCGTAGTATAAAATAATTAAGATAAAGTTCCTGGGTAATATAGTCTTCTACGTGGTTAAAATATAATTATTGAATTTTATTGGGTCATAAAATAAATACTCACAACATTAATTAGGTGCTAAAGAGTAATTATTTTGGAAACTAAACAAAAAATGTATATAACAGGAATCGGTCGACATATGCTTATTACACGTTAACTGGTTTGGGTCACGCACAGTAACATAGCTCACTGCTAGGATACCGGTCGATGTGTGGGAAGCTACGCGTCGACTGGTTTGGAACGTGTACAGTAAAAAGACTCACTGTCAGGATACCGATCGACGTGTGGGATGCTACACGTCGACTGGTTCAGGTCATTCAGTCGACGTATGGAACTATACGTCGACTGGTTCTGGGTAATTCCTCACTCAACTCCCCACTGTCCAATGAGAACCAATATACATCAACATTTGGTAATTAACCACCCACGCTATTACACTCACGTACAAATTTAAATACATATTAACACTTAATATAATAACAACAACCACGTTGTTAACATAATTTGCCACACGTCACTTAAATACACAAAAGGATTAAATGTTGGTAAACTCAATTACATTACCCCGCTGGCCATGTACATGATAAATCCAAATATTTTACATATTGCAAAAGTAATACATCTTTACAAAATCAGTTCAAGCTCTACAAAAATACATCCAAAATGCTTCCTAGGTGCTCTCAAGCATGAGGTGGATTATCATCCGCCAACTCCTTGCCGTGACCTGAAAAGAATTTAAATATGGTGGGGTGAGCAATTTGCTCAGTAAGTGGCGCCTAAGACGCACCTCTTGAGTCCCCGTGAATCCAAAATAAAAAATAGAACCATAGAAAACGGGGTCATACAATGTCGGGAATTTACAATATGGTTTCCAATCTCAACATAAATAATATGATGTAATGGGGATGCAATGCATGCCGATGTCGCTCTCCATTTTTTCACATTTAAAATCATCACTTTCAAACTGTTAATATAACCCGCCCTTTGGTGACCCCACAGCGACACGAGAGAAGGATTGGCTAGTGTCCCTGATCCTTGGTACCCCGCGGCGTCATTATAGGGCCCAGCTAACTCAATCACGCTAGGGCGACTTTCTAGTTCCCTCTAGGCTATATTAACACTCCGGCCCTTTGATACCCCCGCGGTGACAGGGTTTTCTCAAAACCGATTCAAAACAATTTTCTCCCGAAAATCCCCTTTTTACTTTATCCAAAACATTACCAATCATGAAACCCAATGACTTACATGCATATCTCATACTTTTAATGCTTTAACAATAAGGGATTTTCACATAACACAACGAAGCATGCCTTCATCCATCATTCATAGCATATAAACAACATAATAAGTATAATAATTCATCATATAAGCATGCTTTCCACATAATACATTTAATACATGTCCTCACATAACCACATATACATAATTAAATCATTTCAAACTACAATTAGCACAAATAAGCATGTTAAGTCACAATTCAAGTAATTTGACTCACAAAAGTGCAAGAATATGCAGACTAGGAAGCCCCTATCTCAAGTTTGTGCAAAACCCTCAAAATGGTTTCCAAATTTCGAAAACCCTATGGAGGCCCAAAGCTGAAATTGTTAGTACTCACACGTAGAATTCGTCGTGCTCCCCGTTTTGCGTCAAACGACACTTAAAAAGTCTAAGTATTGAAGTTGGAATCAAAGCTTGAAGTTTGCTTGTGAGAATGGAAGAAAAATTGCAAAGGAAAGAGATGAGAGAGAGACTTGCGGGAAAGGGGAAAGAATAAGAGACCAAAGTGGTCTATATACCACTTAAAAGTGGTTGTGGGCCCCAGCATGAATTTAATTTATTTAAATACGGGTCCAGGAGATGCATCAGTCGGTGCAAGTGCAAAGACACGTCCTTGCGGTGCCTGTGCTTGAGAACTGCCACCCTGAATACCAGACTGCTGCGCTGACACAGTAGGAGCATCCCTCCTAACGGATCATGAACCCTGAGAAGACAGAGCAGGCTATGATGGTGGCGGTTGTCTAAAACCTGATTGAACTGTAGCCGATTATGACGACCTCTGTCATGACCCTTTGCCACTACCAGTGCCTATTCCCTGACTAGGACAATCTCGAATCAAGTGACCCTGCTGGCCACACCCATAGCAAGCCTTTGGAGCTGATGAAACAGAAGACGATCTCATAGGACAACTGGACTTGTAATGCCCTGGCTGTTGACACTGGAAACATACGACTCCACTCTTGTCAGACCCCACTGGCATAGGAGTGGTAGGAGCAGATCATACAGACTATTACCCCTAAAACTGAGACGAACCACCCTTGTTCTTCTTCCAAGAAGATCCTTCTGAAGATGGCCCTGCACCTCTCTTTTGTTTCCACTGCTCCCTTCTTGCATCCTTATCTTTAATATTAGCCTCAAGCATCAAGGCTCTCTCTACTGCTTCAGAATAAACTTTGATAAATTGTGCCGTTATCAACGGCCTCATTCTATCATTAAGACTGGAAACAAATTTTCGAGTCTTATCAACTTTATCTCTTACCATTTTCGGAGCAAAGCGAGAAAGTGAAGTGAACTTGTTCTCATACTCTGCCACAGACATATTGCCTTGGATGAGGCCAAGAAACCGGTCTTTTAACTCCCATCTTTTAGAAAGTGGAAAATACTTCTCGTAAAATAGTTCCTTGAACTTGTCCCAATTCATCTCTTCCACCTTATGCCGATTCGTAACCGTCTTCCACTAAAGTTTGGCATCCTTAGCAAACTTGTAAGTTGCTAGGATGATCTTTAGGTGATCCTCTGTCACATCCATTGAGGTCAACTGAGTTTCAACTTGATCCATGTAGTCGTCTGCCTCCATTGGATCTGCACCGCCCTCAAACATAACCGGCATCAGCTAAGAAAACCCCTTAATGATCTTGAGACGCTTTTGAGCTGGCGTCTCCTTAACTTGAACTGTAGGTTATGGTGCCGACTGCGACTGAGCGGCAATTGTTGCCCTCACGGCACTTTGTGACAAACGATTCAACTCCAGTGCCACAGAACCTTAACCTACTTCTATGGGTGCTTCAACGTTATCCCTCCTCATGGGGACAACTCTTGGGGGAATTAAGTCCCTAAGACGTGTGTCCTCATCATTTAGCTCCTCCGGATTGGAGCTGGAGCTCTGGCCAACATCACCCTTAGTCGGCCTAGGGCCAACTTCCCTGGTTTCCTCACGCCGTGACATCGTGCTATAAAACGAGAAAACGGTTCAATGACAAAACACTAAGGTTCACTGTGGACGACTCAACGTGAAATGATGTCGTACCAACACTTATCATGCAAAACTATACAAGGAACATTTTAACGTAACATTTAAGCACGTAAGCACATAAACAATTAAGCATGCTTGTTCAAGAAATAAAACACGTAGCAAGTAGTCACGTAAACAATGCAAACAACTTCCTATGCAACTCTATGTAGGCCTTTACCTGTCATCCTATAGGTTTTCGAACCAAGGCTTTGATACCATTCTGTAACGACCCAGATCCACTGGATCCGGATCATTAATCGGGTCCTTACCCAACCCAAAATCATCCAAGGGTAATACGGGTCTTTCACGTTAAATTAATATATTAAAGTCCAACAAGGATGAAACGGTCATTTGTCACAATTCCATTGGTTTAAGACTCTAAGGGTATAATGGTCAATTACTCGTAGTATAAAATAATTAAGATAAAGTTCCTGGGTAATATAGTCTTCTATGTGGTTAAAATATAATTATTGAATTTTATTGGGTCATAAAATAAATACTCACAACATTAATTAGGTGTTAAAGAGTAATTATTTTGGAAACTAAACAAAAAATGTATATAACAGGAACCGATCGATGTATGCTCATTACACGTTAACTGGTTTGGGTCACGCACAGTAACGTAGCTCACTGCTAGGATACCGGTCGACGTGTGGGAAGCTACACGTCGACTGGTTTGGAACGTGTATAGTAAAAAGACTCACTGTCAGGATACCGATCGACGTGTGAGATGCTATATGTCGACTGGTTCTGGGTAATTCCTCACTCAACTCCCTACTGTCCAATGAGAACCAATATACACCAACATTTGGTAATTAACCACCCACGCCATTACACTCACGTACAAATTTAAATACATTTTAACATTTAAAATAATAACAACAACCACGTTGTTAACATAATTTGCCACACGTCACTTAAATACACAAAAGGATTAAATGTTGGTACACTCAATTACATTACCCCGCTGGCTATGTACATGATAAATCCAAATATTTTATATGTTGTAAAAGTAATACATCTTTACAAAATAAGTTCAAGCTCTACAAAAATACATCCAAAATGCTTCCTAGGTGCTCTCAAGCATGAGGTGGATTATCACTGCCAACTCCTTGCCGTGACCTGAAAAGAATTTAAATATGGTGGGGTGAGCAATTTGCTCAGTAAGTGGTGCCCAAGACACACCTCTTGAGTCCCCGTGAATCCAAAATAAAGAATAGAACCATAGAAAACGGGGTCATACAATCTCAACATAAATAATATGATGTAATGGGGATGCAATGCATGCCGATGTCGCTCCTCATTTTTTCACATTTAAAATCATCATTTTCAAACTGTTAATATAACCCGCCATTTGGTGACCCCGCAGCGACACGAGAGAAGGATTGGCTAGTGTCCCTGACCCTTGGTACCCCCGCGGCGTCATTATGGGGCCCATCTAGATCAATCACGCTAGGGCGACTCTCTAGTTTCCTCTAGGCTATATTAACACTCTGGCCCTTTGGTACTCCCGCGGCGACCGGGTTTTCTCAAAACTGATTCAAAACAATTTTCTCCCGAAAATCCTTTTTTTACTTTATCCAAAACATTACCCATCATGAAACCCAATGACTTACATGCATGTCTCATACTTTTAATGCTTTAACAATAAGGGATTTTCATATAACACAACGAAACATGCCTTCATCTATCATTCATAGCATATAAACAACATAATAAGCATAGAAATTCTTCATATAAGCATGCTTTCCACATAATACATTTAATACATGTCTTCACATAACAATATATACACAATTAAATCATTTCAAACTACAATTAGCACAAAGAAGTATGTTAAGTCACAATTCAAGTAATTTGACTCACAAAAGTGTAAGAATATGAGAATTAGGAAGGCCCTACCTCAAGTTTGTGCAAAACCCTCAAAATGGTTTCCAAATTTTGAAAACCTTATGGAGGCCCAAAGCTGAAATTGTTGGTACTCACGCGTAGAGCTTGTCGTGCTTTCCGTTTTGCCTCAAACGGCACTTAAAAAGTCCAAGTATTGAAGTTGGAATGAAAGCTTGATGTTTGCTTGTGAGAATGGAAGAAAAATTGCAAAGGAAAGAGATAAGAGAGAGACTTGCGGGACAGGGGAAAGAATAAGAGACCAAAGTGGTTTCTATACCACTTAAAAGTGGTTGTGGGCCCCACCATGAATTTTAATTTATTTTCTCCTTTTTTTTTCTTTTCATTTACAACACATAATATACCTACATGCACATACAAAGTCACAACCATAAATAACACATTACACCAAAATAATTATGATGCAAACGGACCCAACTAAAATCCCGTACGCAAAATGTGAAATGACAAAAATACCCTTGCATCAACGGAAGTTCGGAAAAAAGAAAAATGCTGAAAATTGGAAACATCACAGATCTATTTGAAGAAAATAAAATAATTTATATAAAACTCTAACATAAATTATCTATTTTATTTTAAATTAACTCTATCACATTAGACAATGATATGTTTAAGGAGTTTCTATAAAACTCTAACACAAATTACCTATTTATCTATTTATTATGAGTTTTTAAAGAAAAAATTCTAATTAGACAAGAATTATTAATAGAAAGAAATATTTATTAATTGATATAAAAATAATTTTTAAAAGAGTTTCTATAAAATTGTAACACAAATTACCTATTAATCTATTTATTATGAGTTTTTAATAAAGGGAAATCTAATTAGATAAGAATTATTAGTATAAAAAATATTTATTAATTGATATAAAAAATTAAATAATTTTTCTAAAACTCTACCACAAATTATCTTTTATTATGACTTTTTTAATAAAAGAAAATCTATTTAGACAAGAATTATTAATATAAAAAATACTCTATAAAACTCTACCATAAATTAACTATTTTATTTTCTTTTAGTATTTTAGTATTTATTTATTAATATAAAAAATATTTATTAATTGATATAAAATGAATTATAATAAAAGATTTTTTTATAAATAAAATGAATTAAAATAAAAGAGTTTCAAATCATTATTAAAACAATAAAAAATAGGTAATTATTTAATAAAATAATTTGCCAAATAATAAAATAACTTACAAAACATTCATCACGTGTACGTGCCTTTTATTAGTATATATGTAGAGAGAGAGAGAGAGAGAGAGAGAGAGAGAGATGCACATACAGTTAGCCACACCCACAATATTATATACATTAATTACCAACCATTTAGTTGATGTGAATTTGATAAATAAAATCAATTAAAATATTACATAATAAGATAAAAAAAAAGTTAAAAAAATCCAATAATAAGTAAATATGTAATTTTTCAACTGTTGGGATTATTAATTCTAAATATGGCGCTCTTTGCAAAAAAAAAAAAACAAAAAAGGGTCTAGTAGTGTTTGTGATTGAACCAGGTCTCTTCCTTTATTTCCTTAAAACTATTCACGTTATTTTTTAATTTCTCTCACTTTTTAACATGTGCTACCCTTTAATATTTCCAATCAAAGTTGGCATGCATATCTTTTAGTCACCTTCTAAAAAAATTCAGTCAGAATTATGTCCCCTTGAAACTGGCTCAAAGTTTTTCTTTTTAACATTTAAGTGTGATTTTGAAAACACTCGTTCAAACACCACTGACTCATTGGACCACAAATTTCGCCCTTTGGAGGGGCAAGATTATTCAAAAGTGACCATATGCAAAGTCTCTTTACTTGGTAAAAATCAAAGAAAATGATGAGGGTGGACTTGGTTGTCAGGCACGGATTTACAGTGGTCTCGGTGGGGTCTCCTCATATGAATTTCTAGATTGGTCGCTGTTGGTAGTCAATTACTGAATAATAAGTTGAGAACTTTTTTCTATATTACTTCTTCGATATAACCCAACCTTTGCTGTATTCCTGAAATCAACCAACTTGTTCAGGCTATGGCTAATACTCTGCCTCATCTCCTCTTGTTCCCACTATTTCTCATGCCATTTTCTATCCTTGCTCAAGCCAATGGTACAGTAGTTGTTGGCACATCTCTAACTGCAACTGACAAGGCCACTCCTTGGCTTTCACCTACTAACGATTTTGCATTTGGGTTTCATGAACTTGGCGATAAGGATTTGTTCTTGCTTTCTATTTGGTTTCACAAAATACCCGACAAAACCATTGTCTGGTATGCAAATGAAGGCAAGCCTGTGCCAAGAGAGTCAAAAGTGGAGCTAACTGCATACCGTGGGTTGCTTCTAAGTGATCCTCAAGGCAATGAACTATGGAGTTCAGACTCAGTTCTTGATGAAGTAGCTTATGGTTTTATGAACGATACAGGCAATTTTGTGCTCGTTCGTAGTGATTCTGTAAACGTATGGGAGAGCTTCAAAAACCCAACCGACACCATGTTGCCTCACAAAT